GTATGTCATCCGTGTTCCAGTGTTGCCCCATCAACCATCGTATGACACACGAGGCTATTAAGAGCTGCACATCCGTTCACATACCCCGTTCCAAGTGTAAACTAGAAAGTACAAGACCGAAAAGTAGGCGAATGAGCGTGGCATCTTCTTGCTATTATGCCAGGCTTTTTGTAATCTTCTTACATTCCATTGGTAGCATGTACCACAAATGTATTTAAGCATGCTGTCAGCATTCAAGCATTGACACGGAGAAAATGTTGCTGTCAACGATTGGCCGACAAGCAGGTCATGCAGTACTACACCAAGAAGATCTCAGGAATCCTTCCTGCGATATTGCTACTGCAAGGTGTCACTGGATGCTTACTGATCTTATTCAAATTTGGCGTGCAATTTCTGAGTGCCATTACGCGGTCGTTATTTTGTGATTGCCACTGAGGTTAACAGTTCATAGTTTGCAATCCACTCCCTAAGTTGAGCTAAATCAATTTGCTCTCTCATTATTTGCTTTTAGTACGTTGTCTTTATCGACAAGCAAGTATTGATGATATTATTTTTATATGATATATATATATATATATATGAATGATTTGAATGTTGTGCATGACGGTTAAATATTTGTTCAGTCGTTTGTTTCGGTTTACTTGTTCTTTTGGTAGATTTGGCAGTTAGTCTCGTAGCCTACTTGAATATTTACGCAGGTAGGTGTAATATGGTTGCCTAGATTCCTGTACTGAGTGGCTGACGTCCGCCAAATCTTGCCAATTCATTCGGACTGCTCCGGAATGGTTAATTTGTGCTGAACGCTTAGCATTGAATACGTTGCTGGGTTTTACTGTGGTTGGCGCAAATGTTGACGTAGTTACTACCCACCATCTACGGCCAGAGAGACTACTGGCTCCAGAAGCTCGTCAGATGCTCACAGGGTAAGACAAAATGAGTCGATTGTCGTACTAGGCTTGAACTGCGTTCCTGTTATCAAACAGTCTGCGGTTTAGTCATTATGCATCATAGTTCCCCAAATGTTACTTGCTTACTGCGCATGCCAATGGTGTGCGAGTTGGCAATGTGGCAATTTTCGCTTTTACCCGCTTCGAGTTTGCACCAGAAACTTGTCTCCGAGTGGCGTTATGTAGGGTTCAACATAAGTAGCCCTTAGTAGCCTTGTATTGACAGACGTGTGGTGGCTGTCATACCATGGCTACAATGGTAGGCTACTTTTGAATCGGATGCTATCAACCAACTCCTGCGTTAACATGCGATACACAGAGTAACCATGCAAAAGTCTGCACCCATTGAAACCACATGAATAGATCCAGCGTTTGACTACATCAGCCGTCCATTCGTCCCCCATCCACATGCACCAGCCTTGGTTTATCTCGCGGCCTGTCCAGACTCTCATAGTAAACGGACTGATTGTGTAAGACATGATATCAAAGTAATGCATAATATCATACTGGATCGTAGCCAAGTACCAAACCTGGTGAAATAAAATTATGAAACCATAGTCATTCTAACGGTAATTTAGTGATCAGTACGAAGTATCAGGTCGATTAGATCACTGATATCCATCAGAATAGAGGAATTCATTCCTGTGTCAATTAGAGAAAACCAAAAGAATTCCCATCAGGTTAGTTGGCAGGGTTTGATATCAGCCAGCATTTTTGACCTCGAGGCTGAGCGCCGGAAATTCCAAAGCAGTTACCATCAGCTAGTGATATCAGCATTGCCATTATCAAAGAAAGCATCTGAGCAGCCTAGTTAGCATCTGTTCCATAACACTTACTTCTTTGAATGAAGAAAGAGACTTGTAATCCTTAAGTGTACTGAATCTACGCGACGATCGAGGACCTTACGATCCTGTATCACTGCTCTATTTTGATTTCCAAAAAAGGTAGAGATAGTCAATAGCATGAAACTGTGACAGACCAAGCTGAAGTTCTAAGCTGTGGCAGAGCCAGTGCGAAACAGACCTTCTAGTAGATTTGCATATTACTTTTCCAACATGCCAAGTGTCGCCTTCCAGAAGAATTCAACTTTATTTCACATTTCGGTTGCTAAGTCGGAGTAAAATAATTTGAATTTTCACGAGCTATCGAGCTGAATTCGGTTATCAGCATTTATCTAACTGGAGATAACTTCTGAAGAAATACTGCAGTTAACTGTAATGTTGAGTAAAAAAACGGAGAGCACACCGCGCAGATGAACCTGCAAGATTGACGAATCTCAGGAGAATGAAATGGCCAATCAGAGATTTTCCGAAAGTTTATGTGCATTTGACCTTGTCTGATCGTAGTGAATTCAAATTAAACAGTTTAACTTTCTACTCTCCCATTATAACCAGCTCGCTGCAGTTATCGTTTTTAGTTACATACTTTTAATGTAAAGACAGTACGAACACAAAGTTGCTATAAATCGACGTTTCTATTGTTCTCTTTAGTCGAAAACACAACGCAAGCAGAACACGTAGCCACTTACGTGCATGGAAATAGTAGAAACACCAATCAAAAGGTCATACTCAAGACCAAGGTAACACATTTGATGGCCTCAAAAGTTTCTGTGCACATAGCACAGGTTGATAGATTGTAATTAACAAAGCGTCACTAATTGCCAATATTAGCTAATTGTTTCTGCACAAAACAAACTTGATCGCGGTCTCTGGGTTCACATAATGTCAAGTTGAATTGATGCCTTAACCATGGAAAGCCTATGCTTGAAGCAGCTACCCTGTCCACTACTCGAAGCTAAAGCTCATGTCAAACAACAACAACAATAGCAGCAGCAGCAGCAGCAGCAGCAGCAGCAGCAGCAGCAGCAGCAGCAGCAGCAGCAGCAGCAGCAGCAGCAGCAGCAGCAGCAGCAGCAGCAGCAGCAGCAGCAGCAGCAGCAGCAGCAGCAGCAGCAGCAGCAGCAGCAGCAGCAGCAGCAGCAGCAGCAGCAGCAGCAGCAGCAGCAGCAGCAGCAGCAGCAGCAGCAGCAGCAGCAGCAGCAGCAGCAGCAGCAGCAGCAGCAGCAGCAGCAGCAGCAGCAGCAGCAGCAGCAGCAGCAGCAGCAGCAGCAGCAGCAGCAGCAGCAGCAGCAGCAGCAGCAGCAGCAGCAGCAGCAGCGGCAGCAGCAGCAGCAGCAGCAGCAGCAACAACAACAACAACAACAACAACAACAACATCAACAACTTACTCATGTTGCCACCAAGATCCGACTGGGAACTGTGGGTTTATTCTTACCATAAACATAAAAACAGTCAAAAAACGAGTTACCATGAGGACGAATTAGTTGTTACAAGCTACATCCTCACTTGACCAGAAAAGACGTGGAAGTGCGAATGAATCATTCCAAGAGATTGACCCCGCATGGAGACAGATCCCAAGGACACGGCTCCATGGATAGTCGTATTAATATAGTTGAACTGCCGGCTGTACACACAGATATTCGTATTCTGAAATTCTACGTCTACTACTTTCGAATGATGGAACACTCCTATACTCCATAGAGACCATAGACAAACTCGGACACGCCTCCCCACTATTAGATTACGGGGTGTAAGTTGATCAAGTCACGAAATCGACCTGTGTCGCGAAATGTCGAGAATTATGATATATATATATATATATATATATACATAGTTGTCGGCAACCGGTTTCGAATTTGCCTGTCACTGTGGCAAGCCACAGAACGCCTGCGCCTACAGGGGGACCATGGGTAGCTTGCGCTGCACCACCCACAGCTCCAACCACATACCCCATATCCAGTGTAAACCCGAAGGAATAAGACCGGGAGGCATGCGGATGGGAGCCAAGTTTCATCAACGGAGCCGGCCCACACTCCTTCACGTGCAAACACAAGCACGCTGTATTTGGGGAATCAAGCGCACACAAGTCGGTGGCTGGACCGTAGTCCGCTCCACACTGAGTGCATGGAACCACTCTTCGAGCCTATCACGACCACAAGGACCATGCACCCCGTCCCCTCCAGCAACGACCAACTGTCTCCTGGAGCCATGATGGACTAGTTAGTGGGTAATAGACAGGTAGACACCTTGTCAACATGCACATCAAGCGCAGCCACACCGGGGATGTCAAACAACAGTCAAACACTTGAGAGAGAGAGAGAGATACAAGAAAATAACTTCATTAATGCATAAGGGAACGGTGACATAAACCTTAAGTTAATGAGCATATGGAATAAGTTGTTTATAAACGAATCCTACATAAGTTCACGAGGTGAGAAAGTATACTTTACGGAAATGCGACGAACACAAAAATGTTATGGAAATCTAATACAATTGGCTTAAGCGAGGTGTGCAAGTCAATGGAATAGAGTACAGGTAGACATTTATATGAGAAAGAAAAACATTAAGGCAAAATTGAAAACCCACCACCTGAAATAAAAGGACTTAGCATGCAAGCACGCGGTCAGTAAATCGAATGCAGCGTGCCTACATAAGCTGCACCGGTTCTGCCTACGTTCTCTGCAGAACCCGTCGGCGCTTCTGTAGTAGTCCCGAGTGGCCTCGCTCATGGCTCACTAAGCCTGCCTGACTCAAGCACTCGCGACAGCATGTGCTACAGCACCATGGGCTCGATGTCGATGGAGTACAAGCCCTCGGTGCTTGCCGCTTCCGCAGTTGCCGCTTCCGCAATTGCCGCTTCTTCTCTGCATGTATGAAGTCTTTTTTCCCCACTTCGGCAGCTGCCTTCGTGATCAGATCGTGCCATGCATGCCGATCAACCGCCTTCGATTCCCATGATCTGCAATCAAGATTAGGTGTGAGGTTCACTTTACTCATGTCCTGGTAACGTAACTCTGGTTTCCCCACGTGCCGTTTCCTAATACTCAGCTGGCCATATAATAGCTGCTTCATTTTATATATATATATATATATATATATACTGAGAAGAAAAGTCTTTCCAATAATTTGCACTGTGGCGATAGATCCTCGAATGAGTCAAATGCCTAAATTTTGACGAAACTGACTTTCCTTCTTTAATATCCATTTTATTTAGGAGTTTTCTTTGCAAGGGTGATACAAAGTCAAGGGGATCAGTGTACCACATTTTCGTCCTCTTGACTCTCTTGATGCTACCAAAGAAATCCTCAAAACCTATCATTATCAACGAATGCCGGACCAGAGCTCCTGCCGTCAAACACAACGTAAAAGAAGGATCTGGCGTTTTATTGCGTTCTCATAGGAGAAGACATTCAGAGAAATATCGGGAGGAGAAGGTGATCGATGTTCTGAGTACGTCCGCAAGAGAGCAAGATAACACAGAGTAAGTTTACTTTTCACAACTATTAGTTAAATGAAAGGGACCTTGCTTAATTTCCATTCTACCTTAACAACACTGGTCTTGGGTTTCCCAGGTTTTGATGTATGATAGTACTGGAAAATGTGTTCGCACACAGTTTATCGGTGTCCCCTATTCGCCACCCGAATTCTAGCATTCCTCCTACTATGCAGAGCTCGATATGACGCAGTTCGTTTATTTCTGAAAAGTCGTCGGTCGGAATACCTGTCCCTACTTGTAACTGTTTAATTAAGATTGGAGAGCTTAACGGACGCAACCTGCGATTTGGCTGAGAAATCTACTTGATGCAGAAGGTTTAGTTGAAGTAAGCTAGAACAACGGAACAGAGGCTTAGAGCTAACAAGGCCAGATATATTACGTGTCTAGGTAGTTGTCTTGACGGTAATTGACCATATATGCAACCTTGGTTATTAAGCATTGGAGTTAAGAAAAAAATCTATAGGTGGAGCGTTTCAAACATTATTTGTTGAAATTTGCACCTCCGTCTCTTTATGTGCATCTGCCAGACCAATGTTGGAATATCTGTTGGACTCAAATAACAGTGGAATTGAGGTAACACACTCTCCAATTTGGAAATTGGGCTTTGCACACCAGAAAACACTTACTAAGTATAGGCTTCAGACGGCCAGAATCCAATGTCCATGTGCTTCAGTTACGGTCATAAGGGTCGAACTGATAAAGGTCCACTTCAGTAAGTATCACGGTTCACATTGTGCGTCACAATCCAACCACACAAATTTTACTACAAAATGGCCCTCCAACTTTGCACCTTGGATCAAATTCATGCTGATTGTCGGAAATTCACCGCTGCCGCTGACAATCCGGATTCACTTTTTCCAATTCGCCACTTGAAATCTCGTTTTACACACAACCATCAGCTCTGGACAAGGACGCACTAACATACGTATGCAAGCGCACAAGATTATGCCTGCGGATGGGTACGCACTTGCGATACATTAAACGCAGCCGATCAGCAGGTAACCCATTCACGCTGAGTAACTGGTTATGCATACTGAGGCGTGCTGCGGTCAGATCGAGATTACACACTTTTTCTTTATTTATACTTATTCAAATACACGGGCAAAAGTATTCCACTTTGGAATGGTTACTGATGTGATTCAAAACCATAAAGTCGCTAAATGAGCATATTCAAATTTACGGCGGATAAGAATGCTGCTGGAAAAGTGATAACTCCAACACACGCTGATAAATGTTGCAACAACAATTAACGTCGATTTATTGATTTATGCGAATCGCAGCTCTTGCGAGTGTAGGCATCCTTGGTCGGCCGCGCGTATACTCCTGATGAGGTAGGATCCGGTATTTTAATACTAGTCCACCAAGCTATTCCTGAAACTCACCAACCACTTGGCGCGCTTTAAATAACGGCTTGTTCTATGAGGGATCCTGTAGTTTTGACACCTTTTGATCTATCTCTGAGGGAGCTCGAACGAGCTGGGGTCGCATTTTTTGCCGAGACTGTCAGGCTCGGATGGCATATTCAATGCTGAACGAAAGCTATTTGGTCTATTAACTCATTTGTTGCTTTTAAAAAGCCGAAGCATTGATTGGATTTTCGTAATGTGCAATCAGCCCGTCTCAAAGTTCACTCTGCACGAACATCTTGCAATCATTTACGTTGGGATGCACGTAAAAGCGCCCCTCACAGCTATCCGTGAATAACGACGAATGCCTGACACCTAGTATTGGACCACCCTCAGAATCAGTCAGGTGAAGGTAATGCCGAGGCCCATCTGCAGTGTTATGCGATCTTCTGTTGCTTAGTTGCGCAGTCATATTATGAGATTATCAGCAACCTGTACGACGGTAACTCATTTAGTTTCTTCCATGAAATCTCTGAACAAGCATATCCGCAATCTTGAATCCTGATGTACCCCATACTTAACTGCACTTGCGTATAACATGTGTTTACGAGCCATCAAATTGAGATTTCACTGAAGAAAGAAGCTATCACCACAGTCTCAAGCTCCATGGTTCGAAAGAGTACAAGTAATGCTTTCATGCTACAAACGGCTGAGCGCATTTGATAAGTTTAAACCTAGCATTATTAGATTCGCTTTCATTCGAGTGCTCAGTTGTGGAGGTACCTTCAAGGTACACCAATAATGAATTTGTGACATTCTAGAGACCGATTAGATGCCTCTGTTATCTTAGTTGCCAGAGAATGTGATAGCCTCATCAGTGCTAAATGTGATTAACAAGTGCTCACACGAGATAATAACATACTAGGTGGATCTCTAAACTAAGCCATATCACACATCTATATTAAGGCGAAGCAAGTAAGCTGCAAAACTGAACCAAATAGCTTTGAAATGTTACCTAGACCCGGGGAAGAAACAGTGATGTGTCGCCGATTATAATCAGCGTTTCTAGGGTGTGGAGCACGAGTTTCTCTGGGATATTGCACTTACCACCGTCTCACGCATGTGTTCGTAATAAAAACCCAAGCCACAGGCAAAAATTGCGGTTAAGTGGAACATACAAGTTACTTTACACGACACGACCTTGTTATGGGGTGGCAATTTTCTAACTAGAACCGAGATATCGTTTATTAGTGTCAACACAGTACCAACCAGTCTTATGAGACAAAGAATGTTGCGACTGCTCTCGAGAAATCGGAAAGCGATATCGTAGCTTACTAAAAATCCTGACTTGCTAAAATTTATGTTTTATCGCTCATGTCACATAACCAGGGGGAAGAGGTTACAGAACTTGGACAGGAGGGGGCATATTAACTTATCCTACTCGGGTTTCAAGCACGAACACTGTGATTAGCCACTTAAGTAAGTTGCTTGCCTACCTGATTGTTGGATGAAGCTGGCACAGGCAATAGTTTTTATCGGTAGGGCCCCGACAATGATCGCAATTTTATTCTCACATCCGGGTAATAATAGGGGTAGATCTAGTTTGCCCTGGACGCTAATCTATGGTGACAGTGGGTGTACAGACATTTCTACATTCACAATAAAATACCAATAGCGCGCTCGGTATCTAACTATGATGAAGTGTAGCTGCACAGTATCCATGTGCAGTATCAGAACGTCGTGATGCAAAGTTTACAGATAATTTCCGAGGTTGTTTTTGGAAATTTTTCTGCGAATATTTTGTCGCAAGGTTAATTAAAAAACTCGAGCTAACTTCAGGGAAGTGACACAACTAAGCAGTTCGCTGAATTTTCAATGATGCTGTTACTTAACCTGGTGACGAAAAATCTGCAGCTCAAGTACCGAGCTAGGAGAACACACGAACACTCTTGTCTGCATCCCGAATCAAAAGTATTCTTAGTAATGGTTGAAGATGACTTTCATCCGTTCCACGAAGAAACGTAGTCGCACGCAAGATGTGCCTTTGCTCTACTATCCAATGTACTTGAGATCATGGGTCATTCTCCCGCTACGCAAAACTACCTTTTATGGAACTTTAAGATAGTTTGTACCTAACAAATCGATCAATCAGACTACCTCGCTCGAGTCATCTGTATCGCCAATGTGTTGTTGCAGCCTTATGTCTTTGGCTTTGCGGCAAAAATTGCGACGTGTTTTCCGTTTCTTTCTGCGCAGTTCCCTCTGTTCTTTACATATACTGTCCACTAGCAGTTACGAGATTCTACTTGAGGTCAACCGCCAGGTAGCTAGCACGACCAAAGTTGAAGCTAGGTCAGTTGCATTCCATTCCAGTTTGGTACACTTTGGCTAACTTGGTTTAAGAACAGTTTCCAGGCTGCGTTATTCATGGTTAGCAAGAAACGCAGAATTAAATTGAAATATAATACAGTTAAAGAAATATTACCTGATTATAATGTTCCTCCTATTTGAGAATGTGGCAGTCCCAGCTACGTAACTCCTAGACAAAGCACAATCGTATTGTGCGACATGTATATCCTTCCTGCGAATTACTGCCAACAAGTCCGAAGAAAGTTTCAGTACTGCTTACAGAGCGTTAGAAATGCCCTAACTGAATAGAATGTTAGATATCACTCCATCGAAAATTGCTTTCATCAGCTTCATGAAAAGTGTTTAAACACATATACGCTTTTTGCAAAGTACAACCAGGGACTGAATTGTATAGGTTGAAGAGGTACGATTAAAATCAGGATTGCGTGCCTCCATAAAAACAGGAAGGCGCTTAGTTGATAGGCCAACTTTAGGGCTATTCAAAAGTCATAACATTTGGGGGAATCTACCTATTTATGGATTAAAACATACGTTCAAAACAAGCGTTGTACCTTCATCCTCACTAGTTCTCTCGATTTCAGTAGCAGTTCTGTAAAAGCTAAATAGTAGAATTTTTCCAATAGAGTTCTCTGGGTGTGACATTTTTCCACACTGTATACCAGTTAGTTTATTTAATGGCTCTTGTGCATGTGTGAAAGGTTGCGTTGACCGAAGAAGAATTAAAGAAAGACGAGCCACGATAAGCTAACATGATCGTAAGGTCTTCTTCCGGATTAGTAGCTCACTTTTGCGGCTTGTAATCCAACTGCGATGAACCAAAGATACTTAAAGATGTGTCAATATGTTTGGTCAGGTGGCCACACACTCTAAAGCACAACTTTTGGCATCGTTCTAACTGAAGAGTCCGCATATGCAGAATAACAGGTATTTGAAAACACAACGTGAAGACGAAATTCGGCAGTAGCGCTATTAGTAAAGAAGGATTCTACATCTAAAGAACACTGCACATAATCGGACAAGTTCATTTTCTCGAGATTTTTGACAAGCTTGAAGGAATCTTCGAGGCCAAATAGATTAAACCGAGCTTTTAGCGAAGAAAGCATATTAACCAACTAGTGAGTTTAGTTTGGGGTGCGTTGGTCATCGTGACCATCAGTCTGAGTGAAACTCCACTCTTGTACGTTTTTGGAAGCACATATAACTGCGGCGTAGTTGATCCACTCGGCTTTCAACTGTTACAAGTAGCGCTCTAGATCACATGACACTGAT